CACGCATCCTCGTAGCTAGTAAACACAGTATTTGCGCGTCGCAAATCGTGGTCGTTGTCGCGAAAAATCGTGCAAAACAAACGGATGGCTCGAAGCAGCACGCATCCTCGTTAATCGTGATCACATTGTTCGCATGCGTCGCAGACCGTCGTCGTTACTGCGAAATTCGTGCAAAACAACAGGATGGCGCGAAGCAGCACGCATCCTTGTTAAACGTAAACACAGTCTTTGCATGCGTCGCAAATCGTCGTCGTTGTCGCGAAAATTCGTGCCCCTAAACAGATCGAAATAGCCGACGGGTGGCGTCACATAACGTCTGTTCCTATACGTCGTACATTGTTGTTATCGTAAAATATATCCATACAGCCGCTAGTTTCATCTCCTGACTGCCAACGACCCGTAAGAGAGGCGCATTCCATGTCCCGATATAGCCACGTCGTCTATCACATCTCCCCACGCACTGATTATCGCGTACATGCCGATTTACGTTGCAATTGCATCGGCCGAACTGCAATAGAGCTGGTATGGCACTGAAACAATAGAGCGGGTTTGTATACTGAAACCATATAACGGACTAATTCGGCCTGTCCCTGTTCGTTGATGCTCCGAATCCGAAATGACTGTGCCGATTCGGCCTCCTCGATGGGGTCAGAAATGTCTTGAAGATAGACTAGGTGCGGAATTTGCGAATTTTCTCAAAGCGACGAATCAAAACTAACGACGCCCTACGCCGACAACTGACTGCCGTTCTCACCTCCGCGGGACCGGTGGCAGCCGTGACCACGTCCATGTACGCCTTGTCGACGCTGACCATAACCTTATGATTCGCCGCTAGTTCCTGCGCCGCCGTAGTGGTAGCTGAGGCAATCGTGCTCTCCGCTGCAGTTGCAGCAGCTGCTGGGGCGGGAGTGGCAGCTGCTGGAGCGGGAGTAGCAGGTGCGGGTGTTGCCGTGGCGGCTGGGGTCGTAGAAGGCGCCGGCGCCGGCCCCGCAACGGACGCCGCCCCCGAAGCCGATACTGGCGTCGCCGGGGTCGAGCCAGATCCGCGGGCTGGCGCTTTGCCCGACGTCGGCACCGCCGGCAGGACGAGAAACGTGCCGGTCTCTTTCACGAAATCCCGCAAAACATGCAGGACTTCCGTCAGCAGGGCGCGTGCCCCGATGACCCTCTTGGCCGCGGCCGCTCCCGTCGCCCCGGACTCCTGCCGCTCTGCCGCTCTCATGTGGTCCGCCATCGTGTCTGCTCCCCCTTGGCCCAGTCCAATCACCAAGGGAAGAAGCAAGGTGTACAGGTCGATCCGATCCTTTCCCTCCAGCGACTTGCCATCGCTGGTGCACACCCGGTTGAGGAGGAGGGTCGGGAGCTCCCCGGCCAGGGCCACATTCGCGTCGAAACACGCAAGTCGCTGACGGCTTTCCCCGTGGGGACCTCCTTAGCTCCGGCCAGCTGATCCGCGGTCAGCTGCATCGCGTCTAGTAGTGCTGTTATTCGTAAGCCGTGCTTCCTCGTTCGGTTTGGGAAGGCTTTTCCCAAGTGAGCACTTGCTTCAAGCCTTTCTGCAGTTCATCTGTTCTCATCCACGGAACCCCTTCGTGGTTCCATTATTTCGAATTTATTTTACCAGAAATGTAGCTTTCTGGAGGAATGCGTTGTTTGTTGGAGGCGTGGTTGGATTCGTAAAAAACAGCGGGGATGGAGGAGTCGCGTCCCCGCTTGAGATAGATGTGCTTGCACCCTGGCTTGCCCGTGAGATAGGCAAAGAGAACAACACTTATAGGGCACTACTGTCGGCAGTGGAAGAGCACCGAGTCACGGCGAGCGTACACAGCCAGCAGAGCCGAAACAACAAGAGAGCGGACGTAGGATTGATCGATTTTTCCACCCGCCCACCCTATCGCTCAAGAGAGGGAGGGAACCAGGTTGCACAAAGTCGAGGTAGTCGAACATAGTGTCCGGGGTTCATTTATTTTAGGTATATTAGTGAAGTGAGAGTCAGATAGATTCACGTGGTGAATACTATCTATAGTACCGGGTTGGCTGATCCATCAGAATTCAAGCGGGTAAAGGCGGGGCGTGGAAGAAGGTGCTCGGAAAGAGGGTGCATGGTTTTCTTCGCGGCCGTTGTGTCCTTGATTTTTTGGATTTGTCAGGTGTGTCTGCCAGCAGAAAATTAATCCAGAATTCTTGAGCTATAAACGAGCAGGGCTAGATTCACTCTCAAGGGATGACCGAAACCTTCTTGCTGCTGCGCATACAAGTGAGCACTTGCTTCAAGCCTTTCTGCAGTTCATCTGTTCTCATCCACGGAACCCCTTCGTGGTTCCATTATTTCGAATTTATTTTACAACCGACGAGGCGGTATGCTGCAGGGTGTATTTGGTTCTTGCGCTGGGTATTTTTGACTTTTCATTTTTTGGGGGACGAAGTTGTACCCTTGGCATGAAATTTGCCTCCCATGAGCTGATGTGGTAGCCTGGGGCACGCTACATTTTCCTCGCCCAAAGCAGAACCACTGGGCATCAACAGCTCGAGGGCGGAGGGTGCGAAAACCTCGGGACCCTCCAACGGTGTGAACGGAAATACTGCTGTGTAGGTTTTACCCCCTTTTTCGGGCAACGACCGACATGGGGAGGGCCTGACAAGAAGAATCACGCTGAATCCAATGGCGCGAATAATGCCGTTCTCTTCCCCTTCTCCCCCTTCCATGTCGAGAAAGCAACACATGTATGTCAGCATGGTGGTCGGGGGGGGTCAAGCAGATGGGATACTCCGGGAGAAATCGCGCGACCGCCGCTGGTGCATTCATTGCCTGGTGCGTGGTAAGAACAGCGGTGTTGTAACATGAAAAAGCACCTCCCAAGAGAAGATAACACAAGAGCATTCCTCGCAAGGTGCCCACGGACTGTAGCACGAAATCGTATGCATGCGTATGCATGCACAGGAGCGTGCTGCATTCGCCCACTACATACAGCAGTCTATGCATCCAACGGCGAACAAGAAACGCGCAACATACACTATTCCCTACGCGAACACCTGGTTTACCTGTCACCTTGGCAAAGTTCCGATATTTTTCAAAACTCTCTCTCGCTGTCTTATGTGTTTCTTCCTCTCTCTCTCTCTCTCTCTCTCTCTCTCTCTCTCTCTCTCTCTCTCTNTCTCTCTCTCTCTCTCTCTCTCTCTCTCTCTCTCTCTCTCTCTCTCTCTCTCGATCGCCGAGATCGTCGCAGGAACAAGTGAACAAATGGAGAGACACACACCTCTCGGGTTGTCATCAGGATCTCTGATGGGCATGGACGGGATGTAAAGAAGCCTATCTTGGTACACGAACAGAAGCGCGCCCAGCGTTACACCGAGGGCACCCACCCCACCGGCGCACCACGTAAGCCCCGATAACCAGCCCATCGCACGTGCGCTATCAACTCCTCAATCTCAGCCTCCCAGCAGACCCTGTGACCAAGGAATAGCGCTGCGATTGTTATTGTTACATTTGGCACGTTGGCACAGCCTGCTACTGCAGCTTCTTCTTGCAAGGGGATACACAGATTGGACGGGCGGGGGAACGACATAAAAAACATGACGCCCTATACAGCGACGGCAGGATGCACCCGTGTCGAGCACATTGTCTGCTGCCAATCACCCTATCGCTGCCATGATGCACCCTGCGCCTGTGTTCATGGCGGTCCTCGCGGCCACCCGCTTCTCGGGGGCCATCTGCTTCACGATGGCGACGCCCCGTTCCTCTCCGTCGCGTCATATTCGTCATGTTTCGTCAGCGACGACTGATAGGTTAGCTGCCTCGTCACCGCCTTCATCATCATCGTACTCGACAACGCACACCGACAGCAGCATGTTCGCGCCGATGGAAGCTCGAGCGGTGCCGTCACTCGACCGGTGGCAATCGCGACTCCGAGCATCGGGAGAGACGTTGGGAGAAGAGGGCATCGCGAACCCTCCTAAGGAATCAGAAGCGACCAGCAGCGGCGGCGCAACTAACATCGAGTTAGGCGCCGGCGGAAGTGGGGTCGACTTGTCGAAGGGGATAGCGTTCGAGGCCCCGAAGCCAAAGGCGTTGGAACCGGAGAAGGACGAGGAGGAGTCTGATTCGAAAAAGGTAGGTCTGTGGTCTTTGGATAGCGTCGGCGGCCGCGGCGGCGGCGGGTCGCTCGCCGCCGCTGCCGCCCTCTGCGGTAATGATGACAGTCCCGCGTTCCTGACTTGCCCATGGTGCGGCAGGGATGATGTGCCGTATGCGTCGATTGCCTGGCATGGTGGTGGTGCCGGGGGCTCGACGCCGCGATCGGCAGGCTCGGGGCTGTCGTCAAGTGGCGTCTCGAGGCAAGCCAATCGTGTTTCTTCTTTCGCACGGAGAGAAAGATAAAGATGTACCCGAAACCGTCTGTCTCATCTCTCCATTTTGCTCGCCCACTGCTGTTGTTCCCTGCTGGTCCTGACAGACACTTCGATCTCTGCTCCTGACTCGACAGGCAGTGGTATTACCATGATCTTCTCTCGAAAGCTAGAAATGTGGGATGATTGACCTCCTGGCGGTACATTCGTTCCTACCAAAGCATAAAACACGATATATACGTTCCTACCATCTGGAACAGTTTGTGCCGAGGTTGTTAAAACGCCAGGTCTGTTTTCGGTCTGTTAGTGACTCTAGGTTTAACCGGTAGCGAAGGCTAGGACACACCGTGGCTGCCCCAACCCAACCCGACCCAACCTAACCCTAACCCAAACCGTAAACCTAACCCTCACCCACGGCCAACGCACGGCCTAGCGGCCGCGTTCTCGGAATGCGGAACGGTGAGAGAGATCTGGAGAGGGTGAAGGTTAGGAACCAACGCCTGGCCGATCAGACGGCGTGAAACAGCTTAGACAGGAAGAGTCTCTGACAGAGTGTAAAAACTGCTGCTACAACACACACGTACGCATGCTTTTTTGTTGTATTTGTAGTTGCCGTGGACCAATTACCGGACATGAAAAGCGGTTGGCATCCTCGATTAAGAACTGCACACCGCACCCATAGTTTCTGGTATTCAAGAACGCTTGAGGTTTCCTCATGTAATATCTTTGGAATCCGGGCCAGCCGTTGTCCAAGAATCTTGGTCGGTTTGATCCAAGGATCCGGTGTCGCAAGGCACGGGTGAGGGCGAACCCTTCGCAATGCAAATAATTGAAGGCGAACCGCCGCAAGCAGCACCCGGACCGTGAATGCGCCCTGTGGAGCCGAGCTCGTCGGTTCGACATTCAACATCGAACTGCGGTCGCCAGTCACGCATTCATGCAGCTTGTCAGTCAGTGGAGACGGGCGTCCGACCGCACAGCCTAACGAGTACCACACGCGACAGTTTTCTTATCGCATCGCACAACCCTCTTACAAGAGACCCCTGCAACTGCTGTCGCTTGAAGCGAAACAGCCCTTTCCCTTCGCTTCGCATGCGTTGAATCGTCTTCGTTCAGCAGCCCCGCCTCCTCCTCCCTTTGCTGTGCCTGCTGTCTGCTGTTCGTTGTTTTCGTCCGCGCCTTTGTGCTTGACCGCAGGTTCGCGTGATCATCTACACGGTGCTATCCCTCGTACCGTTCGTGCTGCTTCTGCCCTTCTTGGGGGGCAGGGAGCTTATGCCCTTAGATCCCAGCCAAATGTAGCATGGTGCAAGTGCCCCTCCCCCCCCGGCCCCCCTTGGTACCGACATGCTATAACGACCTAGCTGTACTTGTCGATAGATTGGAGGCAGATTGTTCGGGTTCGATCGTGGTCATGATGGAAGTCTGGTCGTAAACAGCTTTTGGTGTTTTTTGCTGTGTGAGGGGGGGGTTGCACTCATAGTCGTGCATCCCGTAGTCGTTAGACCATTGACCGCATCCCTACAAAGCCGGGACGGAGCACGCCGGGTTCTCACCCGACCAGGCTCTCACATAATCAAGCTCGAAGCGCCGTGAGATATTCGGCGAGTCGCATGAAGGGCTGTGTGAGGGGAGATTTTTTGGCTCCGGTAGAGCTAGTCAAGGGTTATTTGATTGCCGATTGCTTGGGTTTGCAAAGAGTAGATAGAAAATACCGTTATGTCCTCTGAATTGTCCCTCCTCCCCCCAAATTTGGCCGAAATAGGCACAAAAATGCTGAATTTCCCGGGGAATATTTTTTCGTTTTTTTCAAGATCTCCCCCCTACCGTAGAGATATCACCGGGGACATCTTTTTGTGCGCATAAGAAACGTTTCCCCGGGGGAGGAGTGAATGGAAATCGGTTGGTGTGTTTTGTTGAATGCCGTCTGAATAAGGTCCGAGGTTCACGGGCTCCGTCCGCGCGTTTCAGCAAACATCGTTCTCTGAATCGGTGCAACCGAACCAAAATTCAAGCAGTCGGTCCTATCCAACCAAGCCAAAGCCATTTTTTTTACGGTTTCAACAGAGTACCTCGTATTGTTCAATTGATGTCACGTGTGTGTGTTTTCTGTACATCTCCTCGGCACAATTTGTCGCCGGGGTGTTTTTTTTGTTGTATATGTCCCCCGTACCGTACAGATAGCCCCTGGGATATCATTGTGGGCATAACAGATAGACGTCCCCCGCGGACAATCCAGAGGATAGTACGGTAACTACACACGCTGCGCATTGTGATGCTGCTGCTATTTTCATGGGACTGAGAAGCACCCTCCACAAGCCGCCATGTCCACCACCAGGCCTTATCCGACATCACGTGTGCGTCGTGGATTGCTGAAAATAGTGAATCCTCTATATTCAGTCAGAATACTTGTTTTTTGAGACAATTTTGTTCATGAGTAAAAGTTTAGGTCGTTTTCGCAGCCATGTTCAAGAGGTGCGGATGGAACGGTAAGGGTCTTCTGGTCGAGGAACAACACAGCAAGCAGCGACGGCAGGTGCAGCATACAAGCGTGACCCGGCATGCACTCTTGTGAGGCAGCGCTTTTCGTAACAGCCTCGCCATGGATGAAGTGAAAGGCGGCTGGGTAGGCCTGCGGGCACGAAGGCGTTGACACGCAGCGGGGTCGTGATTGTTGCCGATTTTCTCCGCGTGCAGTTGTTGACCAAATGTCTTGCGGGGCCATGCGCAACAACGGAGAGCATTTTTTGTTGTTGTCAGGGCGAGAGAGAACCGTCAAGTAGACAGGAGTTGAAAAACTGGTCGAGGCTTGAGCAATAAACTAGGAAATAGAAAACTGCTTGTTCTCACGGCACGGCGAGAGAGCGTTAAAACAGCTTCCGGTTGGCGACCAGCAGCAGCAACTCAACATGTGCAACGTATCTTCCTAGGCGAAAGCCTCATGACCTCGTCGGAGCCCGTCGCGGAGCTCCGGCTGCAGCCGCGGAAATGTCGTGTACGGTATGTGGGTGCTGCTGCTATCGCTCGTCCCTGTTGCTTTCACAATGCGAACCGTGTGTAGTGAATAACTCTCATCCTCCGAAGCGTGTGAGCTCCTTATTTTGGAGTTCTCATCAGCTTGCTTACTGCGCTGGCTTCCGGTTGGGGGCAGAACGGGGCGCACGATTGCCACCAACACAGAAGCCACACGACTTCTCGCGCACCAACATCCCGGCGGCGAAAAGGATCCCACACCCACCTTCCCCCAACCTGTTGTCTGGGTACCAACAAGTGATCTTACCGCGCTTGCATTCCCCAAGATGGCCCCGTGAAAGGCCTTTCACATTTCGCCTCTCTGTAGGAAATGGCAAAGATTCTGGTTGGTTAACTCGTTGCTCTTTTATCGTTGGAGGGGGACAGCGGGAAAGCTGGAGCCCGGGGAAAACGCCCACCCGCCGCCTAGAAAATAGAACGAAACGAAAAAGAGGACACCGTAAAAAAGTACACCACAATGTGCATGAAAAGACAAAAAAGCGGCGACTCGACTCAATTCTTGCCGAGCAGCGCAGCTGCAGCAGCAGCAACCTATTCGCGCGAAATCAGTCAAAACAAACGCCACAGATGTATCGCTGGAAAACACGAACGCACAGCAGAACCCCACGAAGCAACCCGATCCTGCAAGTCTCTTGCCGCCAAACGGCAAGACAGAACCCAAGTGCAAACATCTCGAACACTCACCACACTGTTGCGTGTGGACTCTCACCTCTTCCGAACAGACCTGCGTGTCTCGACGAAAAGGACATCGCGCACGAACGATACACGTTCATTGACGACGAAGTAATGAACAACGGGTTTTATATCCCGAAAAAAAAAAATCATATTAAGTATACATCAACAAAGGAACACAGCAGTGGGCACCAGCGCGCTTTGTGTGACCGATCCCTTCGACCTTGCCCTCTGGTCACACCCATACCTTCACTACGCACCCCCCAACACGCACACACAAGAGAGAGGAAAATTGAAAACGTGCGTACACTGTTCTTCATGTCGGGTGTCGACTTTGGCTCTGTCGCGTGTGGATTCGAGGGACCTGCAGCACTAACTGCTGCTTTCAAAATAAATCTTCCTTGCGCAAACTTGCCCCTCTCTGCCTCTCTGATGCGCAGCTGGTACCGCCACAGTTCAGCGAACACCACACATATGCACAGTGCCCACCCGGATAGACGGGCATATATCGGAGGCGAGGTGCAGGAATATCTAGCGATATCGACCCACCCCCCACCCCTCGCGCGCTCCGATCCGGCGAACCCCCCGGGTTTGCAGTCAACAACACCCAATGCTTGATACCGTGCAAACCGTTCGTTGCATAAACCGACGGATGTTCAACATTGGTGCAATCGAAGCACTCGTGTTTGGTGGCCAAACGCAGAACCGGAGTGGATATGAATGGCTCGTCCCCGGGTACATTTTCTCCCGCACTTCTCTCAATCTCTCACGCATGCAACAAGAATCGTGGAAAAGCAAAAGCAAAGAGAAACAAACGATAGGGCACAAAAACCATTGAAGTCGGCACTTCAGCTCACACCTCTCGTGTTCTAGAACGACAAGTGTAAGTGTGCCACTTTACGTTGTACGCATGCATGATGGCGACCATGTCATCTCTCTCGCCGAGGCCACGCCCGCTTCTCCAGAGGAACACCTGATTAAAGGGTACACCCTGCGCACTGACCGTGTGCCCCCCCCCCCCCCCCCCCCCCCCCCCCCCCCCCCCCCCCCCCCCCCC